TTCTTTTATTCTTTAAAAAAAAAAAAAATAAATTAAAAAAAAAAAAAGAAATGTTCCCTTGTAGCACGGTTGGGGGAAGAGCAAGTGGAACGCAGAGTGATGGGCAACCAAGCAGTGTGGCTAGAGTGGCCCACGTCAGTCTGTTCCAAAGGCAGAGGGTGCTCCCTGAGTCTCCCTCTTGTTAAAATTTATTCACATAGAAGAAGAGAAAATAAGTCTCTCGAGAACTCAGAACAACAGAAGAGGGTGGCTGAGATTGCATCTGGGACTCATGTCAGTAGCCAAAATAAAGGTAACTCTATGGAAGTGGGTTGAGGTATAGCTTCCAGGTTAGAGGCTAGATGCCTGGAGACAAATGAATACTCAGGAGAACTGACTTACAGTGCTCTGCTAACATTTACTCCTTTGTTTTTACTTTAATCTTCCCAACATCCAGTCTTCTCTGCTGGCCCTGCTGAAATCTCCAGACACGGATGAAGGAGGAGCAAATTAAGAACAAAAACAGGCCAATGCGAAGGTAAGACACAGAACAATCCTCCCTCACCTCTTACCTGCTATTCATTCTCTTCCAAAGTTCCAAGGGAACTGTTAGAGTCATACAGTTCTAAAGAGACAAAAGGATATAAAATTAAAACTAAAATCTTTTTCGCATGGACCCCATGCCCAAAGCAAGTTCAACTCCCGGGACACAACTGTTAAAGGGAGAAACTCCCTCATCTTCATTTTCCTTCTGTGTGGAGTCTGACATTCCCAGGCTTTCTGTTCCACCATGGAATTCATTTTTAAAAACTGCTTAATCTGCAGGCAGATTAAAGAGAAATAAATCATGTGTGCCTGGCTTTGCTTTTTTCTTCTTTTCTCCTGGGAAAGGCATTCTCTGCTACTTTTCTAGGAGTGGACGCTTCTCAAATTCTGGGAAGAGCTGCCCTGACCCATAACTTTTATAACTGCAGGGATAAAATTCCTCCTTGTGAAGTGCATTAAGCATGCCTTTTAGCTCTCACAGCAAGCTGTACAGTGTATTCCAACTTAGCCTTTATAAATAATAGAGTAGTATTCAGACATTCCATCAACTTACTCCTTGCCTTATTCCTCCACTTATTCAGAAACTGGATGAGAAGAGGAACTCTGCTGGCTGGGTGTTCACAGAAGCTCCATTACCACCTATTTATGACTGCTGAAATATAAATTCAAAGCAATATACTTACTTTTTAAAAAAAGCAATAAGCTTTTTTTTTTCTAGTACTAGGGATTGAACCGAGGACCTCCTGTATCTATACAATTACTCTTGAGTAATTAATATTGAGCTATATCTCCAGCCCTTATACTTCTATTTCTTGATGTGTTGGTTTTTGGTTTGATTTGCTTTGCTTTGGCTGGGGGAGGACCTATTAACTTTTATGAAAAATGAGGGATCTAGAAGTAGCTACTTTTCCTCTAAGAACCCGTTAGCATTTTTCAATTTTTTAGCTGTACTATTTTAACATTAAAGAGCTATATCTTCTATTGCATAATCTACTTCAGACAGTATTTCTCAAGTCTCCAGTTTATGAAATGAACTAATTTCTATATTTTGCTCCAACTCCCTCCAATTTCTACCTTATCAACTCTAATTTTTACATTAGTAAAGTTTATGTTTTTATTTTATGTAGATTATGTTTATGTGCATACAGGCAATTACTATAATTAAGTATCCTAATCTTTGCCAAAAGGCTAAATTATAGACATTGAAAAGCATTTATTACTATTTAAAATGACATGATTCAAGAGATGCAATTGTCCCCTAAAAAAGTGGCATAGTCAGATTTACAGAGGGTGAAACATAATCCTATATCAATAAACCTGTGCTACTTGAAGGAACTTTTTCCCAAGTCAAGGACAAATGCATATTACATTCTTACATTCCAGCAACTGCTCAATGCCCTGCCAGATTTTCTGTTTGCTTCATATTTACAGAATTAGTTTTATATGGTTTGTTTTCCCCATTGTATTAATTTGCTCAGGCAGGCTGCCATAACAGAATACCAGAGATTAGATAGTGTAAACAACCAAAATTACTTATCTCACAACTCAGGAGGCTGGAAAGTCCAAGATCAAGGTGCCAGTAGGGTTGGTTTCCCAGTAGGCCTCTCCTCCTGGCTTGCGCACAGCCATCTCTTTTCATTTTTGCTATCCCAAATCAAAACATTCTACCTACTAGCTATCATCTCCTAATCCCTTCCCCCTAAATCCTCTGAGCTACCTCTATCTTCATAGATTTTCCGATTCTGGAGATTTTTTTTTTTTTTCCCAAAATAGACCATGCTCATAACAATAAAGACCTTAATATATCCAAAGAAATGCAAATTCTGCTCAGTAAGCTCCCACACCATATTAGAGTGAAACCAGAGACCAACAACAGAAACATACTTAGAATATACACTTTCTCTTTCTCTTTTCTCTCTCCACTTTCCTATTAAATTCTCTTCTCTCCTCTCTCCTCTTCCTTTTCATAGAAGGACACTAGCCCCATGGGTTAAGGACCTGACTTTATGACCCTCTTAACATTACCTTCTAAAGATCCCCTCTCCCAATTTAGTGCATAACACTCACCTTTGTTTAAAGGTTAGGAGGGACTTAAACTAGTCCCCTACAGCCCTAACTCACTCATGAGGGTTTAACCACTTCCCCCAAAGCCCCAACCTTTAACAGCACCATAAATGGTAGTAAATTTTAACTTGGGTTCTGGAGGGGACACATGCACAGCACAGCAGTCTCTCATTTCCTCTCTCCATCAGCCCCCCATCCTAGAAAAGTCAAGTGATAGGCTCTGACCAGCCTTCAGTGAGAAAGCTTCCCAGCTGTTCCAAAGAAGAGTCCATTCACCCCGAGTAAGAGTGCAAGTTGCAACTTTATTCCAACATTGATGACTAATTATTTCAAGAGCTGATTTAGAGTTGAACTAAAAGGTGTTAAGGGGGTCAACTAAGATGAGCCAAACTGCAAGTAACAGTGAAATATTTATTCTTTTACTGCAATAGGATAAGCAAGAAGCAAAACGGGAAAAAGGGCAGGCTCCCTAGAGCTCCACCTCCTCCCCCAGAGCAGCTCTAGGTGAGGTGTGCTACCAGGGTCAGCTATCACAGCGCACACTGGGGGATTGTCTCACAGGCCCCA